TCTTCCGAGAATCATGTGTTTTCCATCGAGGGAACTATGTGAAAGACCTGAGTCGCCTTGGGCGGGAGCTGAGCAAAGTGATCATCGTGGACAATTCTCCTGCCTCGTACATCTTCCATCCTGAGAATGCAGTAAGTAGCCCCAAAGCAAAAGGACGCAGAGCTCCATCTGAGCTCTCTTGCCAGGCAGAACCACTTTTGTACCTTCAAGCACCTGTGCGGGGTTTCTTGGCCTTTTCCTTGGTGAAATCCCAACTCTGCCACTTAGCAATTACATGACATTGGCCAAGTTATTTATGCCCATTGAGCTTCAGTTGTCCTCTCTGTCAAATGGGAGTATAGGCATGCTGATCTCATAGGGTTGTTGGAGGATTGGGTGGCAGTACGTGAAAAGCACTTAGAGCAGAGCTTGCAGGCTCAATGAGCCTGTATCTCCTTAGCATCTTTAGGATTGTGACCGAGAAGGTTCTGTCATTGGCTTCCTGGAGCTGGCTGTTGCCCAGGACTTCATGACCCCTGTAGACTTAGAAGTCCTGGGTGACCTCTTCAACAGAAGTATTAAGAATGAATAGCACTTCAGTGAGGTCTTCAGATAAGACTGCCAGACTTCACCACCTCATAATGATGTCTAAAAAGTAGACAACGGGAACATTTCCTACTTAAAACTCCATGGAGGGCTTCCCTGGTGGCTCAGTGGTTGAGAGTCCGCCTGCCGATGCAGGGGACACGGGTTCGTGTGCCGGTCCGGGAAGATCCCACATGCCGCGGAGCGGCTGGGCCCGTGAGCCATGGCCGCTGAGCCTGCGCATCCGGAGCCTGTGCTCCGCAGTGGGAGAGACCACAACGGTGAGAGGCCCGCGTACCACAAAAAACAAAACAAAACAGAAACCATGGAGCGTGGCAGCTCCCAGTGCCGACTCTCTGAGTGCAGCATGACTCAGAGCAGGAGAGACGCCCTCCTGCTGCCCGCCCTTCATTTCCAGGGGAAGAGAGACCAGCCCCATTGGTGATTGCTCACCCCTCCATGGTGGCCACCACGCCAGGCCTCAGCTCAGGCCCTGGAGAGGATGTTTCTCCCAAGCCCATGCTTCTCAGACTCAACAAAAGCCCAAACAGGGTCCTTTCCTTGAGGCCAGAACTCTGTTGCTCCAGTTATAACCAAAAACTGAGTTCAAACTAGATTCCATTAGTGTATAATCATTATTTGAACAAACATTCAAAATGTATTATATTTAAATATGCTCCTTTTGATGAGTTAATCAAATTCAACCTAATGCATTTTGTAATGTGTCTAACAGATAAGGGTTCTTTTTAGTATAATCCCAATTCCAGGGACTTTCCTGGCAGTCCAGTGGTTAGGACTTCACGCTTCCATTGCAGGGGGCACTGGTTCGATCCCTGGTCCGGAAACTAAGATCCCACAAGCCTCGCGGCGTGGCCAAAAAAAAAAAAAAAAAAATCCCAATTTCATTATCACATCTGATAATACTAACAGTTTCTTAATATTATCTAATATCCAGTCTGTGTTCATCTTTTCCCTATCATCTCGAAATATTTCCTTACATTTGGATTGTTTGAATCAGAATCCAAACAAGGTCCCTACATTGCTTTGGTATTGTGTGCTCACTGTGGTATCACATCTGGAGGCATATAACATCAGGTTGTCCCACTTTTAAAGATTTTGAATTGATTTTTGGATTCAGGTGTTCTCAGCCTGATCCATCCATTTTTAAATTTTCAATCGACCTTTCACAACTGCTCACAACTGTGAGCAGTCATTGATGATCCTTACCTATATCCACTATTTCATTAGGAATTGCAAAATGGTGATTTCTGAATCCTATCATTCTTTCTGCATTTATTGGCTGGAATTCTTTTTTTTTTTTAACTGAACTTGCTCTCATTGACTACTTGATTACCCTAAAATTCATTTTGAATGTTTGAATAGGGAAGTCAGAGTAAAGTCTTGGTTCTTTTTAATTTTGCAGTTTTCAGAGTCATGAGTTGGTGCTCTAGCAAGCCTCCAAAAGTAACCAGTGAATTTTTTTAGGTACCATTATGAACTCATGGATATTTTTTTATGTTATAACTTAAGTCCATCTATTATCCTTTTGTATACTCAAATGTTCACCTTTGGCCAGTGGATGCCCCTTCAGATAACAATAGTCTTTTATAGCTTCCTGCTTTCTGGTCCAGCAAGATGTTCTAAGCTCATCTTGTCCATTTCTTGCTCCAGCCCTGGAATCAGCCATTTTTCTGTGGAACCTGGTTCCTAAGAATGAAAATGGTATCTAGAGACCACAGTTTGGGTGGGTTCTCATTGTTACTGGGATGCCCTTTGCTTCCAGTCCTTTCTACTGGACAGAGCTAAAATACACTTATTTTTATTTTTAGAATGAAAACAAAATCATAAATTCACATTGGTTTTTCCAATTCAGTTGTAACGGTTTTTATTTAATTTGTTTTTGTATTTGTGTCTCCTTCTCTTATGCTGAAACTCTTGATTCCTAAAGATACTAACATTATTACAGATTTGATTTATTCTATAGTATACATTTAATAGCTTCAGAATTGCATTGTTTTAATATTATTACTAATAATAAAACAACTGAGTGCATTTAGAGGTTTTGTTTTTTTGAGAAATCTACAAACAGCACTATGTTTCAAAATCACTTGAAATAATCCTCTGTGGTTATGTCACAAACTTATATACACTAAAGTTCATCTTTTGTTGCTTTTTTCTTTATGATTTAATTTTATTTCAATTATGTAACACATTTACATAGTTTAACATCAAAACTATCAGCAAAGATAAATTCAGAGAAGTCTTGTGTCCGTTTCTGCCCTCTCACCCATTCCTGTCCCTTCCCCAGGAGTAGTCATTTTTTTGGTTAATCCTTACCTTGTTTCTTTTTTAAATTACATGCTGAATTTTTATGTTTCTGAGCAGTCTTTAGATTTTTTAAATGGTCAGAAATACTGCTTTTCAACTTTTTTGGCTTCCCCAAATTTCTTTTAATATCTCTTCTTTGCACCCCTGGCTATCACCCACTAGCAGCCTTCCCCACCTCTCTGTCTAAACCTAAGGGAGAATGCTGTCTTGCCCATGGCTTCAGAATGTCCTGAAATTTTATACTTCCCCTTTTACCTGATCTCTGCTAAGCGTGGGAGGAAATGGTCCACTTCTCCTTGCTGTGCAGTCTGGCACAGTGACCCTAAGTGGAAGCCCTCTGATGCCCTCTATGTGGGCTCCCTGATGTCAGTGTTGGCTGGTGACCTCTGGCTCCAAGTGCTCTGAGGTACAAGAAGCTGGTTTAATGCAATGGCAAGAGCGTTTTGGAATTAGCAAGGTGCTAAGCTAGTTATATATTCTGCGCCCTGGCCACCTTTTCTGTGGCAGGAAAACAAAACAGGCAAATGCCTGCAAAGTGGGTACACTTAATTTTGCCTTCCTGAACCAGGTAGATCTGGATTGATTTTAGTTGGGACAGGAGAACGAACAAGATGATGATGATGACGATGATGATGATGATTTCCAGGTACCCATCCTCCTTACCAAAGAAAATGTTAAAGTACAGGGACCCAGTCAGGCTAGAAGCAGCCCCCAGGCCTGGATACAGTTCTGCTGCCCCTTCCATGCACTGTCTTCCAGGTGCCTGTGCAGTCCTGGTTCGATGACATGACAGACACGGAGCTACTAGACCTCATCCCCTTCTTTGAGGGCCTGAGCCAGGAAGACGACGTGTACAGCATGCTGCACAGACTCTGCAGTAGGTAGCCCTGGCCTCCGCCCGCCTCCCGCCTGTGCACCCTGGAACCTCAGCCTCGGGACCTGCCTGGCCTCAGCTCCCCAGGAGCTAAGAGTGAGGACACGCCATACTCCAGGCCACGGGGCGAATGTGGCCATACCTACCTGTTTTATTTTTTAAGAACAGAAACAACTATTTTAAAGTGAACTCTTTTAACGAATTTCGTAAAGGGACATGCATTTTACTGGATTTGCTTTTCTTAAAACATACCAAAAAGGAAAAAAAATGGGAAAAAAAAAAGCTTGATATCTATCAGACTTCCTTTCAACTGTCCTCCCCTCCAGCAGACAGCCTGTCCCCTTCTACCCCAGCTCAGAGTAGCTGACCCAACTCAGAATCTCTTTCCTACAGGATGAAGTGCCTTTTTGAATGTTATTTTAAGCTGAGAGTTAATTTTTCTATACAACGTATTTCCAGACATCTTTTAGTCTTTTATTGTCTTAGCTTCTCTAAGAAGATAAATATGACAATTTTCTAAAACCTGGAAGGTGGGAGGGAGGGGGGTGGTAAGGGATGGGGGTGAGTCATAGGAGCCTGTCTCCCAGCGGGTGTGCTGCTCCGACCGCCTGTGGCATGCCGCAGGGTCAGGCCCCTGCGAGGAGATTTTGTGATGGTGTCAGTGTGTGCATTCATTTCTGACCCAGTTTGGAATGTATCCGCAATCGTGTGGCTCAACGCTTTAGGAAACGATAGATCCTTTTATATTACTCATTGTTTCTGACGGTGACAAATTTGTCTTGAGGTCACAGTTTCCCCTGGAAAAGTGGCATCATGTCACTTCCGCTTTCACACTACTGCCATACTTCTGTATGTTTTTGGTTTGGTTGTTGGTAGAACAGTTCTAAGAAACTCTAAAACCCTTGGATAGTTAAAAAAAAAAATCTGTTGATTGATTTTTAAATCTGTCCTTTCCAAAAGCTGGATACCCGTGGAGCTGTTTGGGAATTTTCTTTGCTGCTACCGTGCTGCCACCAAATGGAATTGACCAGCGGCTGTTACACTGTTCTTTGCCACTGTGCCTACGCTCAGAATCTGCTCACTGCTAAGCTGCAGACTTGGACAGGGTCAGAGACATAGGTGTCCCACCCCGTTGCAGACTGCGGACTGCGTTCCTTCCCTGGCACCAGCCTTGGGAGTTCAGAAGGGAACAAAGACAAAAGGGCCAGCGCACCTGACCGGTGTGGCGTTCATTTCAAACTGCAGTCAAGCTCAGAGTTTCTGATAAGCCGACCGTTCTCTCTTGAGAACCTGTGGTCTCAACCCACCACCACGCTGATGTGGCCCGAGTCCATCTCTTGGTCTTCTCTTTTGAAGCACAGCCTATTTCTGAGCCGAGCGTTGGGGAAACGCATCTAGATGTGGGACCCATCGCCCAGAGCCAAGGAGAGGAAGGGCCCCCTCCCTGAGCCGGGGCTCCCTTTGCAGCCTTTCCCAGTGAGATCTTTTAAGCAGTGCCATGTTCCTCATTTGACAGTAAGACAGTCTATAAAGTATTGCTCTTAAAGATAATTTAAAAGAACCCTTTCATGTTGGCACCATTGCCTTAGTCCTCTATGGGTCGGGCCGGAGTTCTGGTGGGAGTGACTGGCACTAAGAAGACTGGAAAACAGTGGGGGGCGGGTAGCTGTCAAAGTAAAATTTCTTTTCTGCTTTCATTCATAAAATAGTGAAGCCAGCTGCCAATCACGTCCTCCCAACAGCACTTTGGTCTGCAGACTGCTGTGCTTTCAGAAGAGAAGTAAGTATTCAGGGGTAACCAGGTCTCCCCATGCTCTGAGTGTTCCAAACCCAGTAATCCACATGCCAGTTAAAATAGAAACAGCCCTTTGCAAGGCATGACTACAGAAAATAACAGTTATGTGGCAGGTCTGCACATGCCATACACCTTGATTTGGAAAACTAGTCATTAAATGAACCCACTGCCTTAAATGTCTTGAATGTTGCAGTCAAGTGTCTGACATGTGTTGACATCCACACAGAAATCAGTCCTGATGAGAGCCTTAGAACCTCACCTGTGCCCCCTTCTTTGTTGGCATCCCAAGGTCTTGTTTGGAACAGGGGGCAGAGAGGACTGAAATCCTAGACTATTCCAGGGGAATCAAACCTAGGAGTCGTGCCCCACTTCCGATGGAGTGAAGACACTTGGCAGGCTTGAGCCAGACACTTCACCTGGTCATTCCTGAAACCGTGAGCACCATTGCACTGAGCCAGTGCAGAGCTGCCGGGGGTGGAACCCAGTTCCTGCCACCACAGACACAGAATGTCTCAGGAGGGCAGCAGGCCCTCGGAGGGTTCTGGATTCTGTGCACCTTATTTGACCCCACTCCAAAATTCCGTTCTTATTTTAACCCTTGATTCTGCTTTATGTACATAATCAAAATATCTATATCGATATATATATTTTTAATCATCTACATGTAAATGAAGCAATAGAATTCTAACATAAGGCCAAGAAATGAGATGAATGTTTGGGGTTTATGTTTTTTAAGGTAAATACGGGTATTGTTTTTAATTATTACCTTTTATTAAATTGTGGGCTTTAAAACCTAATGAAACCTATCAGCTATTTCTCTGTGCCATATACTTCCCATTGTTACCAAAACACCCCCCAACTCTTTAGCCAAATGAGAAATCTCACCTCTTGAGTTTCCATGGTCCTTTCGGTACCAGGTTAAAATATAGTCTCCTGGAAAAATATTTTTTACATTAAGATCTGGAACAGGATTCTGTGGCTCGTGGACTATGATGTTATCACATCTCTGGCCGGGCCTTGAGTGGAGGTGCCCAGGCACACCTGAGGTTGTTGCTGCTGTGTCCTCCATGGCTCTGGAATCCTACGTGTTGGTCCGTGGTTTCACCCATTAGCTGTTTGTAAACAATGCATCTGTATCCTAAAAAGAAGCACCACGTGTCATAGCTGATGGTTGACGGGGAAACTCCTTTGATGTGGTGCAATTTTGATGAGATGATTTTGGAGACATGAGGATACCCTAATGACACTGATTTGTCATGGTTGCAGCATTTGAACTTGTATTAAAAAGGAAATCTGTATAAGTCTATAACCTGGCAATATTTTTATGACCCTGTATATTAAAGATGGCTTTCTCATAAAATCCAGAACCACACAGCCCTATGGTCAAACACTCGTGACGTTTGTGCCTCTGCTTTTAAAGGTGCTGTGATGGACAGTTGGCATGCCATCGAGAAGAGGCTTTCTCATAAAATCCAGAACCACACAGCCCTATGGTCAAACACTCGTGACGTTTGTGCCTCTGCTTTTAAAGGTGCTGTGATGGACAGTTGGCATGCCAGGGTTCGAGAAGAGTGGATGGTTTGAAGTGCTTGCATATACCTGTGCAAAATCAACTGGCTGCCTCTGTTCCTATTTTACTGTAAATTTGATGGTATCTGTTCCTGTTCCATTCTCTAGGGAGCTTCTCCATAGACAAACACACACACACACACCCCCAAGTGGTGGGGATGCTGGTGGTGTCTGGGTAGTCATGGATTTCTGTTGGACATTTGAATGTGTAAACAATCCAGCATCACTGGGGAAATAACTACATGTAGAATGTGCACGTTTCCAGGGCCGAGCATTGTCAGTCAAGAGATTTGCAATGATTTCCTTCCTGCCAAAAATAAATACGTGAAACTGCGCTCTCTTGTGGGTGGACTGCTTCTTAGCACCTCTCCTCACTCTGTTCTCTGTTCTCTCCCAGCTGCACAGCCTCACACGGGCACCTTGGGTCTCCCGGTGCCCCAGCTTCTGAAGAGCAGGGGCCAATGGGAGCAGGATCTCAGGAGCCACGGACCTTGACTCCAAGGGGAGCTAGGAAACCACTCTGCCCAGTGTTAGGACCCTGGCTTCATCTCCCCAGACAGAAGCGGTCTGGCTCACCATCCTCCCCCAAGGACTCCAGCCCTACCAACAGGCTTCCAAGTGCAGCCTGAGGAAACCACAGCCCCCACCCCAGCCCCTCAGAGCCACAGGCATTGAGTGTGGTACCTAAACCCATAGCCCTCGCATACGCTGGCTGAGGTGCTGTGGTTATCAGATGAAGCATGGCAGAGGACCCAGGAAGAGAGTAAGGATATCCAAAACAGTTTTCTTGCACTGGGACATCCAGAAACATTGCCCTCAGCCCAGTCCCTCTGTATGAGAAGGTAAGGGGCTACAAGTTCCCCGCCCTGCCCCTCTGCTAGGAAGTCCCGGCAGAGCCTTGGGCACAGCCTCACCACTGTAAGGACTGTCTCTTCATAATGATACCTAATTCAGATAACAGAAAACACCAGGGTCGACAATCTCAGCAGATAGGTCTTATCCCCATTTTGTGGATGAGAAAACGGAGGCCAGTGAGACAATGCTCTGCAGTCTATTCTGTCTGTCACAGGGATACAGGGTTCTGCCAGGCATGTATATTCATCCCAAACAACACAGGGCACAGTGTTATATCAGGCCAGGAAACCTAATATTTACCCAGAGACACACCCCAAACCCCCCCACCCCCTAGTTAGTCTGTGCCATGCCCCTAGGTGCCCTCTCTGCAGTAGAGCTCCTGGCCAGCCAGAGCGGTCACCCCAGCTTCCTCCCTGGTTCTGGATTCCTAGGCTGTGTCCCTCTCTGTCCCTCTGTCTCTCCTTTGCTCAGCTCCCTAGCCCTCTCCCTCCCCTTGGCTTCTCTGGCATTGCCCCCAGGCCCCACCTTTGCATACAAGCAAACAAATGGTTGAGAACTGTCACTGCCCCTGAAGCTGGGTTTAAATGGTCTGGGGTGGACTTGAGGATCTGTATTTTTAAGGGCCCTCAGGTTTCTAATGGGCAGCCAGAACTGAGAATCACTGGGTTAGGAGAGGGTGCTGTAAGGGAGGTGTGGGGTGGAGAACCTAGAGCCCACATAGCCTCCTCCTGAAGGCCTGAGGGTCCAGTGTGTTCTCCTTGGAGATCAGGCTAGTGGCCATGCCAGTTGGTG